CTCAAGCAAATCTCGGGACGTCATTCTCCCCCTGTACTCGGCCTTAGTGAGGCCGCAGCTGGAGTACTGTGTCCAGTTTTGGGCTCCACAATTCAAAAAGGATGTGGAGAAGCTTGAGAGAGTCCAGAGAAGAGCCACGTGCATGATCAGAGGTCAGGGAAGCAGACCCTACGATGACAGGCTGAGAGCCCTGGGGCTCTTTAGCCTGGAAAAGCGCAGGCTCAGGGGTGATCTGATGGCCACCTACAAGTTTATCAGGGGTGACCACCAGTATCTGGGGGAACGTTTGTTCACCAGAGCGCCCCAAGGGATGACGAGGTCGAATGGTCACAAACTACTACAAGACCGTTTCAGGCTGGACATAAGGAAGAATTTCTTTGCTGTCCGAGCCCCCAAGGTCTGGAACAGCCTGCCACCGGAGGTGGTTCAAGCGCCTTCATTGAACACCTTCAAGATGAAACTGGATGCTTATCTTGCTGGGATCCTATGACCACAGCTGCCTTCCTGCCCTTTGGGCGGGGGGCTGGACTTGATGATCTTCTGAGGTCCCTTCCAGCCCTGATGTCTATGAAATATCTATGAAATATCTATGAAGTATTGTGAGCAGGCTTCAAAAACCCCTTCACCTTGCTATGATTTAAGTAGGTCCTGATATAGGTGAGATTATATAACTATATACGTGTCATATATATATTTCATATCTATGCATTTTGTATCCATGTTAAACCTGTCAACATGTTTCAAGGTGTAAAATTTTATCAATAATTCACATTTCAAAATTTAAAAAAATCACAGCAAAAGTTTTGCGATTCTGACCACCTCCTCTACTAGAGGTTGTCCACATTTTCTGAAATTTCATATTTCAAAATATATTTTGCAATGAAACCAATTTTCCTCCCCTCATTATTCTGACAGCTCTAATTTATATACATACATGGGGGGGGGAGGGTTTCAAAAGTGGTTAACTTTATCATTCCAATTAATATTCAAATTGCATTGCCTACTCTTCTTTGAACATCCTGCCCCTTAGTACAGGCATGAAGAAGCATACAGAAAAAAGAAATGAAGACACATCATCAGGAAGGTGGAGGCAAAATCTCTCACTGTCATTCAATATAAGATATACAAAGCAATACAGGAATAATGGGCCAGGTGATGAAGTTGTCATGCAACAAAGCAATAAAAACATGGGAAGGGATAAAGAGGAGGCAGGTGCTATGAAAGACAAGTTTCTTACCTATATGCCTGTGGAGAAGGCGCTCGTGGATTTTAATGCTATGGTTCCTGATCTCTTTAACCGTGACTACCTCGGCTTGGTGAGGCTCGTAAGAGGAGGAACTGATGACAATGTTTCCACCATGACTCCAGTCCACTTCATCGGTGAGCAAAATCCTTGAACCGCACAAAAGTTAAATAACAGCGATGAGAAAGGTTATATTCAGAGAAGTTTCAAAGAAGAATGAAGAACTTGCCAAGGCAAATCTAAGACAAAATACTCAATGAAATACATAGGAAAAAAAACAGACCTTGCGTTTATCTCGGGTGTGATTGTCCCAGCCTTTGACTTGTGTTGGAACAGGAACAAGACCTTCATGTCCACATGCAGCTTGGATGGCAATGGACTCAAATTACCTCTGATTGTCATGGGAAAAAGTGGTTTCTCAGAGATTTCACAGGTACTTAAAGTGGGGCAATGGGCTTGTAGGTCTGTAGGATCCCTGAATAAAAGATTTTGTCCCAAGAGAAATCCAATGTTTGTTTTTAGCCATAAACTTACCTCCATTTGCTCAGTGACTTTGAACTATTCCATTCTCCAGTTCATTCTCAGTGTCTATAGGGGTTTCTTTCCTTCTGGTGTCTCCACATTGGTTAATGAGACCTGTGTCATGGCCAGCAGTATAAGGAGCTCCCTCCCTGCACTCTCTATAAGTGATGTCAGCACACACATCATGGCTCCTTGCCTATCAAGCATCCTTTTTCATAAATGACCCCATTTGAGATACTACATTAGTCTTTATTGAACAGCTTTCCATTCAAGAAAGAAGAATTAGAAAAAATTATATAAAAAGTGGGTTTATGGTTAGAGTATTAGCCTAGGACTTGGTAGATCTAAGGTGAATTCCAGTCCTTGTTACAGTTCTATGTGACCTTGGGCAAGCTACATAATCTCTCTGAGACTCAGCTTTCCTTTCCTAAAATGAAATAAACTTTCTCCAAACTGTGATCTTTCATGTCTAGCTCAGTTATGAATTTTGTATTACCCTGTGTGCTTGAACTGGAGCAATTAAAACATTTTCAAAGAACCTTCTTTTTTTTTTCTATTGAAAAAAATGCCAATTTGCATGGATACATTTTGTGGCCATATATACGTTTCAATGAGAATGTCATAAGGAAGATTTCTCCAGTCCAGAATAAAACTTCCAAAGGAAGCTATGCATCCTTAGGATAGCTAATAGTCCCATGGGTAGCACACTGATGTAGGATCTAGGATTCAATGTCTGCAGAGTCATTTATAACAGGAGATTTAAACCTGGGCCTCCCATGGTGTGGGATCTCCATTTCTGGAAGTTTTGGAGAACAAGTTAAACAGACATGTGGCTGGGATGGTGTAGTCAGGGATGACCCTGCCTTGAGCAGAGGACTGGACTAGATGACCTTACGAGGTCCCTTTCAGCCCTTCTTCCCTATGCTCCTACGTACCACCAGAAAGTGCTTTCACTACCACCCTGCAGAGACAGTTGTTGCTTCAGTGACTACTTAATGTTTCATTCTGGACTGAAATGAATAAAAATGTTAAAACCCTGGGGTTTTGCACTTTCTTTTTTGTGTTAAGGAACTGTGGTTTGTACACTGCCCATCACACTGAGGCCTTTGTTTTAATTTTAAAATCTGTATCTGACAATACATTAAAAAAAAAAAACAACCCCTCAAATTTACCCGAGAACACCAAATTACTGACTTTGAGGAACACCCTCACCTTTCATTGCCAGGTGCAATGTCAGCTCCAAGATGTGTCCAGGATTTCTTAGGATAAGCACTGTGCATCTGCACCTTCCCATAAACCCCTGGAACAAATGAAAAGGTAAGACCAGTGAACATAAAGAACTTGTGCCTTAATGAAGAGCCATTTTTTAGTCTCCTCTCTTCAAAAGACTTTTGAACATTTCTGCATGTTTTTCATCTGGACTGATCCTGTGAGAATAGCAAATGAATATTCATTCCAGTTTGACAGGCAAGTTTGACCCCACAGTTGGTGCATCTACATGTGCGCTTTAATGCACAGTAGCATATTTTACTGTGCAGTAGTGTGTCATGGCAAAAACCGTGCTAATACGCCAATGTGCAGTAAAATTAGCCTACAGCACGTTAAGCATCACTAAAAAAGCAGCTGCTTTCACTACCACGCATTAGGGCAGCCTAATGCACATTTACTTAGTACCTCACATTAGAGGGCAGCGATACACGAGCACGGCAGCTGCTCTGACAAGATTGAATTCCAGTGTCTGAGCAGACTCAATTAATTGATTGCCATGATTGCCATGCAGACTTAATTGCCATGCTCCTGCATCTCATGTATTAGTGTCCCCATGCATAAAAATGGCAGTGGTTGTGCTTGAACTAAATCTTATTGAATGAGCTTTAGTTCAAGCACCCCAACTGGCATTTTTAAGCGCAAGGATGCTGATACATGAGACACAGTGGTGCTTTGATTAAAGCAATTCTCAGAGCCACTCTAATTAAAGCACCATGCCCCCTGCCCTCAGAGAATGTGTAAAAGTGCCCAGAGGTACTAAATTTAATGCACAGTAGCAAAAGTGCATTAATGGACATGCAGACTCACCTGGTAAGCTAGATATAGGTGATTAGTGGGAGACTTGCAATGCCAAGCAAGGACAGCCATACAACTCCCAATAATTTAAATTGTGGAGCTATGTAGTCAAATGCTAAAGTGGAAGTGAAAAAAAAAAAAATTACAGTTCTACAATCAGGACCAAGAGTTGAAATATTGAAACTTTTCACATTAAGAAAAGCTCTAAAACATTCAGTTTGGAAACGTCATAATGTTTGGCTGTTAAAATGAAACATGTTTGTGTTCCTGCACTGATTTAATTTCCTGTTAAAATGAAACATGTTCAAGTTTCTGCACTGACTTTTTTTTTCTTTCCAATTTGTTGAACTGCCCACTGTTTCACTCAGTGGACAACCAAAGTGCAACCAACCCTGAGTTACCTGAGTAATGTGTAGAAGCAGTTCTTTTACCCCCTCTGGCATGTGAGTGTTCCCATTATAGGATTAAGGAGCTATCTGCACAACTCGAGAGGGTGATTTTTTCTATAAAACATAAGAACGTAAGAACTGCCATTTACTGGATCAGACCATGCATAGGTCCATCTTGCCTGGTATCCTGTGTCACACAGTGGCAAGGAGTGGATGCTGAAAGAGAGAGCCAACAGGATATGACCAAGGTTTTTTGTCACTGTTCCTCTTTCATTTGCACCCTCCAGCATTTAAGGTCTTTATGCTCTCTAAAGATGGCTTATGCACACCCAGAAGGGGTAACGGAATTGCTCCCATATTATAGTTAAACACTAAGTCAAATCATTATTAAACTGCATTTCCCTACGGTGACACATTGTCTCTTTGGAGCTGTAGTTCTGGTGCCTGGAAGTACACTTCCATTTTCCCATGGATTAACACCCCTCTCCAGATTGCCTCTCCTTGGATGCATCTGGAACAGGTTACCTAGAGAGGTGGTGGACCCTCCATCCTTGGAGGTTTTTAAGGCCTGACTCAACAAAGCCCTGGGTGGGATGATTTTGTTTGGGGCTGGCCCTGCTTTGAGCAGGGGGTTGGACTAGATGTGACCTCCTGAGGTCCCTTCAACCCTCACTTTCTATCATTTTATGATCCTTGGTCACATGATTCCCATGATCTACCATGCTGCTTTGTGGAGAAGACTGAATTGCATCATGGGACACATAGCTTAGCTAAGGAAACTGAAGAAAATATGCATATCAGGCATTTGAACTACAATACCCACAAGGCCATGTTGCCACCATGGAAGAATGTAGTCCTATATGGAACTCACTCAAAACAAATGGTCCAGGTCAGTTCAACAAACTGAAATATTTTGAGTCAGTATCATTTGATATCAATACAATTTTGTGAAAGAGTTTCGACAAGGCTATCAGCAAATGTAACAATTCATAGATTCTATCTGTGAATCTATGAATTGTTACATTTGCTGACAGCCTTGTCGAAACTCTTCCACAAATAGGTTATAGTGACTCTACATAGTACTGGGCTGAATAGCTGTAAATTTGACTATTCCATTGAACATGGGGTTGTTGTTTTTTTCCCAGGAAAAAGCATACCAATAGTTCCTGGGTGGACATTTATTCCATCCAACCGATCACAATAAATTCCATCAGATGCTCGAAGAAAGATAAGCAGGTTTAGTCCTCTTTCTAGGGGATGATGAAAAGTACCTGCAAAAAAGAAAAGAAGAAAAAACCCACAACCGTCCATTTTTCTGGTGAAGAAAGCACGTATCAGGAGATGTAGATCTTTTTTCTAAAAGATATGTTCAGTTCACAGAGGAAGGCATTCAGACAAGTCCTATAGAATAGACTAGATAATCACAGGGTAAATTCTGGCTTGATAATCTATGGATCTGGGGAACTTGAGCTTAGTAGTTTAAGTTCCTACTAAGCACAAGTTTTACATATGTGCTTAAATGTAAGGATATGTTTATTTGCACCTATGTTCAGCAAAGCTTTTAAGCACATACTTAACATCACATGGACTTCACTGGGATTAAGCACATACTGGACATGTCTACACTGGACATTTACTGCACAGCTGCCTAATTAGCTCTGCAGTAGTCTCTACGTCTACATGTGTGACCCTATTAGGCCGCAGGAAACTAATAAGCAGCACTATTGGTTAGTACTTGTCAATATAAATATGATCCTATGATGGTGTTTTAATGAGCTGCAATACACATGTAGATGCTGACGGGGCTGGCTGGGGCTGGCTAGCTCCCACACTGGAGCACCTTCATGCCCCAGCCATCCCCTCCAAAGCACATTGAGCCGAGTCGGAGAAGTCCCAGGTTGGCAGGCTGAACCCCCAGATCCCCTGCCAGCTGGGGGTGATCCAACCCAGCTCAACATGCTGTGGTCCCACACACATGTTCAAATGGCACACCCAGGAGCAATAAACTCCAACATAATATTCACCAGAGTTTATTGCTTTGAATTAATTGCATGTATAGACATACCCACTGAAGCATTTTCATAGATTCATAGATGTTAGGGCCGGAAGGGACCTCAATAGATCATCGAGTCCGACCCCCTGCATAGGCAGGAAAGAGGGCTGGGTCTAGATGACCCCAGCTAGATGCATATCCAACCTCCTCTTGAAGACCCCCAGGGTAGGGGAGAGCACCACCTCCCTTGGGAGCCCGTTCCAGACCTTGGCCACTCGAACTGTGAAGAAGTTCTTCCTAATGTCTAGTCTAAATCTGCTCTCTGCTAGCTTGTGGCCATTATTTCTTGTAACCCCCGGGGGCACCTTGGGGAATAAATACTCACCAATTCCCTTCTGTGCCCCCGTGATGAACTTATAGGCAGCCACAAGGTCGCCTCTCAACCTTCTCTTGCAGAGGCTGAAAAGGTCCAGTTTCTCTAGTCTCTCCTCGTAGGGTTTGGTCTGCAGGCCCTTAACCATACGTGTGGCCCTTCTCTGGACCCTCTCCAGGTTATCCGCATCCCTCTTGAATTGCGGCACCCAGAATTGCACGCAGTACTCCAACTGCAGTCTGATCAGCGCCCGATAGAGGGGAAGTATCACCTCCTTGGACCTATTCGTCATGCATGTGCTGATGCACGATAATTTTGTGGAATAGAGGCTATAAAATAGGCTTGTTTTCTGGGTCACAACCCCACTTGCTATGTTACAGGTCCTCAAAAGTAGGACAGATGAAGTAATGGGGTGCTGACAACGTTAAAAATTATGTGATGCAAATACACATATTGATACTGTATAGAAATAAGTGAGAAACACTTACCAGCCCTCATTATCCTATAGCAACAGAGAGATTCTGCATTGAGATCCAATTAAACAAACACAGGAATAAAATTGGATGGAAAGCAGCAAAATATTAGAGCCTGCAAATATTATCCTATTTAAATATGTATACAAATATTGTTTTCAAATCAGTTTACATCCAGCTTTGCAAAATCTATGATACACATGACAAACTACATAGAAAGCTTTGTAGCTCATCTCCCGAACAGTACTGTATCAATTAAGCAAGAAGAGTTCATGCTATGATAATAAAGCACATGCAGGGTATGATGATGGCACAGTCTTGTGACTACAACCAGGAGTCAGGCTATGTGTATTGTGTTTTCAACTCTCCCACTTACTCACTGAATCAACTTCAGCAAGAAGACCCTAAATACAAGAGCTTTGGGTGTGCAACTTTAAGACAAACAGGAGGTGGAGGTACTATGTACCTCCAGGTTCAGTACATACTTGTAGAAATCAGAAAGGCTAAGAAAGAAAGGCTACAAATCAGAAATCAGAAAGGCTAAGGACAGACATCGGTTTATCCTGGGTTTGACTGTCCTGGGCTTTGACTTGCATCAAAACAGGCACAGGGCGTACAGCTTGAATGGCATTTACCAGTAATTAAAATTAAACCTGGAAAAAAAATGTGTTATCTTAGTACCCTACAGGTACTTAAAGCTGGACAATGGACTTGTACGTCTGTAGGATGGAAACAGAGGTCACCTTTGTGCCTCCATAAACATTTTTAGAGACACACAAAGCAAAAACAAAGTTGTCCCTACCTTTTGTCACACCATAAATGCCCAAATTTGTGGCCAGGAAAGAAGATACTAATAATTTGTGCTGAGTTTATTGCAGGAGCCATATCTATCTGCTTATGGCAGGGGTTTGAGGGGCCCGATCCTGAGCACCCTGGGTATTCCTGGGCAGCATTGGTTTGAGGGGCCCGATCCTGAGCACCCTGGGGATTCCTGGGCAGCAACGGGGCCCCTCAAGCTCTTGGGACATCTGCCTTTCCCTGCTTATTGAGTCATGCCCTGGGATTTCTGCTGACTTGTGCTTCACACAGAGGCACAAGTCAGCATGGGCCCTAACGCGGAGGCATGGGATGCCAGGGATTCTCTGGTTCCTGTACCACCTAGCACCTCCACACTGTCCCACGCTGCCCCGTGCCTTTGCACGAAGCACAGGTTGGCGCAGGTCCCAGCAAGGAGGCACAGGGGAGCGCAGGAGCCCAGAAATACGTGGCAAGGAGGCATGGGACAGCGAGGGTGGACTCCCCAAGCAAAGGGAATACTTTGCCTGTTGTCCCGAATCAGGCTGCTGACAATGCGTGAGGTGTGTTTCGCCCAAGAAAGAGGATCAGGAGTGGTGGGAGGCATCCCACCCTATCTGATCTGCTTCCATTTGGCAGTGTCTTTTTATCTTCTCTTGGCTGAAGTAGGTGACTTCTGCTCGCTTTGCTAGCTTCTGCAGGGCCCAAGCCCAGGTGCCTAGCACGCTCCACACAGTCTAGGGAGCCTCGGTTCCTAACCCGGATATTGTGATTTCCCTAGGTGGCCAGGCACCAGTCTCTTTTGTGGAGATTTGCCCTCAGCTGTCCAAGAAATCTGAGGAAGAATAGCCATTCACAAGCTAACACCCTAACCACTGAATTACCCTTCTCCTCCAGCCACTTCTGTCCTTACCCTTGCTGTTTGGATGTAATGGCACCAATTCTGCAATGAGTATCCTTTCAAGCTAACAGAAAGATGTTAATAGAGCACAAGAGAGGAAAAATGCTTAGAAAGTTTTGGTGTGTGTCATGTCGCTCTTATCTTGCGGTGATAAGTCTGTACAGTAAACTGTATTCCAACTGTGACTTCATTTATTTCACCAAGGGTAGTTTACAGTTTCAGAAGAAAATGGCCTAGCACTAAACAGATACCAGGGAGGAAAAAGTAGGACAGTTTTTGCCCTAGAGAAATGTATACAGAGTCCAGTAAAAGAGTTCAATGTTCCTTTAAAATTAGAGATGAAATAAATTATGCAACAGAAAACTGCAGCAGATGTAGAATTATATATCTATCTATATATCTATATATACACATGGCAGGCTGGCTAATTTTGCACACACACCCACATATATTTAGAGAGAGAGAGAGAGAGATCTATATAGATAGATATAGATATTGATATATATATATACAGTATATAGATATATTGATATCTGTCTATATATATAGATAGATAGATTTACTGTATATATAGATATCTATATATCAATATATTTATCAATATCTATCTATATAGCTATATACATCTATAGATCTCTCTCTCTCTCTATCTATATACACAGATAGATAGATAGATAGATAGATAGATAGACAGACATAAAATTAGCCAGCATGCCATGTCCCTTTAATATATAAAAATTACCAGCTTGGAATATCCGCACAGAGGAAACTAGTGAGATAGCTGATTTTATATCCCAAAGAAACATTATTCTTTAAGACCCTTTTAAATTAAAATAAATTAAATAAGAAACTGCAATGTTTCCTAAAGGGGCCAGATTGATATCACTGGAGATTTAAGTCCCCCATGTATCTATCAAAGTCCCTGATGCATCAATAGGACAGGCACTGCAATATTTCCACAGCCTTTCCAGCTAAGACAGCTCATCTGCGTACTGCAGTTCTTCCTCTAGAGGCAGGGGACGAATTGGCTCCTTCATCATCCATTCAGTCCCTGGCCTCTCTGCTGAGACTGGTGATAACTAGGGTGTGAACACCTGCCCCTAGGGATTGGACTGCAACCAAGGATACATTTCGGAAAGGACAACAGACGGACAACAGATGAGAACGCTAGTGATCTGCGCCGCAAGCTTTATATCCCAGCCCTCATCTTCCAACTCATCCTTATTCCCTTGGATGGTTTTCCAGAGTATACTGAAGACCCAACAACCCCCTGCCCCTCTACACATACCTCTTGGGAGCACAGTGATGTTACAGCTCGCCCATTATGAACTCTTCCTGACCCTAGCCATCCCCATGGAGTTTGAGGCTTATAGTTTTTGATACTCCTTTTTTTAATTATCTTGACCAGCTTTTTTACTGGTATTGACAAATAAATTAAATTACCTTCTTTTTTTTTTCATAAACCAGTGTGCTTGCATGTATGTGTGTGTGTGTGTGTGTGTGTGTGTGTGTGTGTGTGTGTGTGTCTATTAAAAAGAATTGCAAAAATATAACAATATCCCATCTTTAATTTTAAAAAAAAAAACCAACATATTTCTAGCATTAATGACTACAGGAAAAAGCTTGAAAATGAGAACTCTAATAAATGAAATCAAGTTTGAATTTGAAAAGAAAGTTTAAAAGGGGAAAGAACTATAATCTTTTAAAACTCTCACGAGTTTTAAGAATTAAGAAAA